CAAACCCTCAACTAAGGACAGGGATATTGAGTCTTATGCTCTATGCTCTTTAGCATGCAGTTCTACTTTAGTTAATTAATTCCTTGTAACAGAAGAAATCAATCAAAACTCACAGAAAGTTAAGTACAAAAAAAAAAACACTACTTCTAATTTTGTATTTAAAAATTTCCAATTGAAAGTTATGAGGTTTGCATTTTTTCTAGTCATGTTCCTCTACTTGGGAAAATGGTCATTTCATCAGGAAATCTAAAGCAGAGGATGTTTAATGAAATATCAAAACATGATAAAATCTACATAAAACATGATCACAGGAGTATTAATTAAATCACTTGGCTCATGTCAATAGGAAAGCCTGCCTGGGGAAAAACATTTTCTTACAGTTGGTTCTGCACACATTCAGTATTGTATTCTTGACAACATAACCCAAGCAAGAGCAACATATTGTACTAAATGAAACCCATGAAAATTTCTCATGCGATACTGACTTTTACAGAAAAAAATTTTTTTTTCATCTTTCTTGGCATATTTAATTAGCAAACATTATATTGCAAATTCTATTGTGCTCATCAAAATTACCTTAGACAAGGCTAATTGATTATGGTAAAAATATCTTTTTTCTTCTCAGAACTTTTAACCCTTTACACCCTAACATCAGTATGTACATTCTCCTTACAATTATCTAAACATTTCCTATGATGCTGAAAGGAGAATTTGCTTAACAATCAAGAGCTTCTACAGTTGGTGATTATCTCTTTTATCCTCATAACCTTAATGTTTAATTCACAGGTGATATTGTGGGGGGAAATTTGATGCTGATCACAATTGGAGGTTAAAAAGTTAAATGTGTACCACTTGTTCTTAGTTTTTTTTACCTGCATAGTTCTGTGACACTTTTTTGGGCAGTAATACATTGGTTAATTAAAGCCCTCTCAGGTGGGCAATATTGTATTTATTCAGCTGTAATAAGTTTCCAGTTGCAACAATAACCCGAAACTTGAGAAATTGACAATTTCAACATGTCAGTTAAAAGACCCATCATCAGTCTTAGTGGTTCACACATGCACAGTGAGAGAGAAAATTCTGTCAACCGACTTAGAGTAAAGCTAAAAATCAATTTAAATGATGAACAAACACTGTGAAAAGGATGCACCAAAACACTTTGACATAAGATGCACTCCCAGTTTTAGATCTTTTTTCCATGGGAAAGGAAAATTTTCAGTGCACCTAACAAACAAATAACCATCATACAATAATCTGTATATTGATCCTTACAAATGAGTAGCACTTTAGATTGTCATTTTGAAGTGTACATTAAATTCTTTTTTAAAAACACTTTAAGTATAAAACAAATCCCACAGCAAAGCAATGAATAATCTTCATTCCACGACAAAATCAAAATTTATCATCTTTCTTATTCTCCCATGATGCTTTGCAAATAGCTGATCCTTGCAGAATACAGTGGGCATGTCACATATGAACTTAATTTTGGACTACTTTGATTGACTGCCAGAAAGAATTGCCAAATTTTTAAAAATGAGAAAAATTAACCTTTAGATCAAGTGAAATAAATCATTTAAAAGGTATTTTTGGGTTATGCTATAAATGACACCAACAGGTGTGGAGGTGGTAACTGAAAAGACAGAGAAGTGTCAAGACTGAAAAATGGAAAACAAAACTTTTCTTTTTCCAGGTACATATAGGGTATACCACTAAACTACAGCTTAAATTGCAGCTCTCAGAGCATCCAATGCTATAAGATATCGAATCAACCAAAACAGTACAGAGAAAAAAGTTCTAAAAGTTGCAGGAGTGGTATATCAAGTATTGGAGGGGGCCTTGATTTTATATCTTTAATGTGCAGATCTTTCTAGGACCTTTTAGTTGTGAAAATTTCAGAAAAAATGATGAAATATTGAGCATGTAATGGTATCTTTTGCCATATGGCACTCTCAAGCATCTAAGAGTTAAAATGTTCTCTCAAGCCAGAAGGTAAGGCATTGAACCATGAAATGCAAAGACCTAGGGTCTAACTCAAACTATTTGGACACTGGCTTCAATAAAATGCAGGGTATGACATATATTTGCATCTAGTTACACCAGTGGGGTGAATGTAGGAGACAAGATGAAACACTACAGTTCTCAAACCTAACCCTGGGTTAAGATTAACTTGGGTCAAATTTTGGCACACAGTTGTGAAGCTAAAATGCTATTGAACCAGATATCTGTGGCATGAAAATGCTTCAAGGATTCAAGTTTTTCAAAAGTGTTTTGCCTTACCACCAAACTAATCATAGAAATTATTTTTGGAACCACGCAATGTAAATTATTGGAAATATAGATACATGTGTATTTATGTTTAAGTTGCTGTTTGTCCTACACATAAGTAGACATGGAACTTGAACAAACCAATCTTCAAAAGTTTAAATGCCAGGGGTATTGCCTGGGAGGGGAATGTTGAAGCTCTGAATTGATTATGCTGCATAAGAGAAAACTAAACCTAATACATTACTGCTCAGAGAAATCTGTCCAATTTGCTAACTTCCATTATACTAAAGTATGTCTGTGAAATATTCACCACTGAAATTATAAATATTTTAAAGATCTACCAAACCCTCACCTGAGGACAGGAATATTGAGTCCTATGCACTAAGGAATGATTTGTCACCTGAATTAAAATCAATTAAGTCATCATTAATATTTAAATCAAAAATAGGAGAATTTTTTAAATGATTTTTCATCATCATATTTACATATTTAGTTTCTTTAATAATTATCTTCAATTATGATTGATATTTTAGTTTTACTTAAGTTTTATTCACTTCAGTATTGTTTTGTATAATTTACTAGGACACTCATTGATATCAGCAATTGCTGACGGGTTTACCCTGGCTAAAGATGTAATTATCATTATATCAGCAGTGTTACACATCTTAATGCTATGAATCCTAATGGCACAGTAGGGCACTAAGCGTAGCCTAGAGGCCATGTCATAAATTAACCTAATTTCCTAGTCAATATCTATCCATATATATACTTATATAATTATATATTATTATTATTATTATTTTTATCATCATTATTATTATTACATAAAACACGAAGGAATGTAAACCAAATCACTTGTTTGATATCAATAGGAAAGCGTTCCTAAGGAAAATTACTTTTGGAAGCGGCATGAAAGACTGAGATAGCTCACATCCACATTTCAACCGACACGGTAGCAGTCAATTGGGTGTATTATTTTCAATCGTACTCACTTGTATCATCAAAAACGATGCTTACCTTTAGTAGATGATTTAAAATGGTTGTGTAGCCAACCTAATGATCCTGATTTCTCTGATATTACCCTCAGCGCAAAGCCTAGAAGACATCATTACGAAACACTTATGTTTTTTACCCTTAAGCACAAAAACTTCACCGAAAAACTGATGTAAATCACGAACCACGAGCGTAGAAATCGAAAGCGGAAACGAGCCTGATTCAAGTTAAAACCAGCCAAACTAACTTACATCAGGTTTATATATTTCTGAAAATAGATAGACCACTCATAATTATATGCTGACTAACCTCGCTGGTAACAAAAAAGTTCAGTTTTACCAAGAGAAACAATAGCAAACCAAGAGCACGCCTCGTTGTAGGAAATATGCCTACCGAAGCAATCTGCTACTACACTCGAGTCGAGTACGGAGAATCAAGAGACTGGAACTAGCGCGGGATCTGACGGGCGAATACGGAGAGAATTAACACAAAACAACATGTCGTCATGACAAAAGTACACTAGCGACTAAATACAGGAATGGCTCCGATCTGTGATTGGATGATAAAAATAGTAAAAGTTAATAAGTTATATCTTAACTCCTTGCTCGTGAGTATTGAGCAATCGGTATATAATTTTTCCTCAATCCTTTACCCCCTAACATCAGTCTGCATATTCTCCATACTGTTCTCTATACATTTCCTGAAGCGCTGACGAGGAGAATTTGTTTAAAAATCAAGAGCTTTATAAGTTGGGGATCATTTCCTTGATTCTCGTAACCTTAATGTTTGATTCAGGGGTGATATTGTAAGGAGAAATTAGAAGCTGGTCACTCGTAGGGGTTAAAGGGTTAAAGATCATCCCTGAATCAAGAATAGACGAAATGATTGTTTAACAAATTCTCCGTGTCCGTACCTAAGAAAATAAATAGTGAACATTATGGAGAATATACATTCTGATGATGCTCAACACAACAGCGTCAAAAAATAATCAAGCAAATAACTAACAAGACGTGCAAAACGTATTTTCATATAGTTGATAGTGTCCTCCTGTCAGTGCCCCGAGTCATGGACTGTGTAGTGACGCCCTTAAATTTCAGGCTCTAACTTGATGTAGACGGACACTGATGACGTAGCACAATAAAAAACAAACAAAAAAAAACCCAAAGAACAAGGAAACCAGTATGTGCAATAGGTTGATGATGTGATGTTCTATTATTGTTTCCTGTGTCTTCTATACCATGAAGGAGCACATCTTCACGAAGATTCAAATTAGGAACGGGTGAGGTTTTTTTTCTACTCTTAACTTGTGGGGTTTCCTGAGATAAGTGGTTTGACTATTTTATTTCACAAAATATGTTTTGCGTATGTTCGTTTGCTTTTTAATTTTTTCTCTCATTTATAATTGTAAGGAAAGTAAAGAGGGAGACTTCCTGATTCAAAAGGTGTCTAAAAGAGTTCCCCTTTTTGGTTGAAACTCATAAATAGAGCAGCCCAGAAGAAAATTTTTCTGAAGCTTCACCCCTCCCCCCCTCCGCCCAACCCTCCAGAAAGTCAGGCGGTTAGGGCCCAGTGGGGGGGAGTAGAAAAGGGTCAACACGTTTCAACCCCTCACCAGCCTGGTGCGTTTGACTATGCAACGATGCCCTGACTCACACGGGCACCTTACCAAATGACTAGTAACAGCCACCTACTGGAGGTTAGGGCTATGCCCACAGAATTTCACATCAACTGGACATTGAATCTCTTCTCCGTTTTGATTTTATTCTAAAACTACTTCACTTTGAGTGACTACAGCCCCCATTCCCGATAAAAGAAAGTATTTTCAAAAACTAAGTAATGTCTTCAAATTTCAAAAACAACGCAAACTAATTTGTATCCAGAATCACTGCATTGAATATCCTTCTTTTTTCCTGGAAATAATGTTGAAAAATGATTGCCTCGCGGTCATTCTGGTTCCATCTTCAACTAGACCGGTATAAGCTATGTACACATAAAATTGATTTAAATTTAGCTGGTTTCTTATTTACACACAGTTGAAAGTGCCTCTTTCACACGAAAAATACGAGAGAATCACCAGTGGTACCACAAGCTCTTTCTCTCTTCTTCTCTAACAATCTAAAGCTGTACAAGTACTTTTGCAGAAAAGGAAGTTAAGGCCTTTCTGAGAACTGTACATTTTGTCAATACCTTTTTCGTTTTCCTTGAGAAATCTCACGAGTTAAACGAGTTGCAAATCAACACTAAACTAAATGCTTACTACACTCCGCTTCCATAAAACAATTTCTCAGCTTGTAGCTGGGTGATTAAACACCAGAGGAGAAATAAAATATATAGTTAACCCTTTAACTCCCAGATCCAATTTATAATTCTCCTTACCGTCAACCTTACAATTCTTATAAAATTAGCTCAGAGAATTTAGTGTTGGATTAACTCATCCCCAAATTGAGATTTTTCTTTATTCTCATTACTTATCTGGTTGATATTCTATTGATTTTGTAAGGAGAAATTCCGTCTTGGTCACTCATGGGAGTTACAGGGTTAAATGTTTGTCTCAAGTTTACGCTAAGAACAGTTAAAAATGTTTATGAAGTCTCTCCCAACAAAAAAAAATCATTTAAAACCTTGAACAGCTTTGTCACTAAGATCATTCTTTTACTCGCTTCAATCTCGATCAGCGGTCTCTCCTGTTCAGATGTCGGGACTAGAAGAATACAGCCTTTCAGACAATGTCTTTCCCATTCTGCAACGAAACTGTAAATCTCTGTAGATGTCTTACTTTGGAAGGTTCAACCTGAGGTAAAAATTCAACAATAGAAGTTAAGTCAAAGGCAACATCTCAAGTAATAGAGTATTTTTAGTAAATTAACTAGTGATCAGTAGTTATTTTTCACAAATCATTCTGTAAAGTTGTAAGCGGACAGTTGTCTGTAATCGACACCTGAGATCGGATAGATGAAGCGTCCATTCATACTGAGTCCTTTCCGCCAAATCCACCAGTCACAGAATTTATCACAACAAACATAGCAACAACCACTTACACTAAAATAAACTGTGGAATTTCCAAAATTGAGAAATTTTTCACTTTAGAAATTGTCTCTATCGGAGATATTTGTCCTTAATGTGTTTCTTGTCTTCGGAAATTGTAACAGTTATGATAAATTGATACAGGACTTTGTGTTATCCAATTGTGTCTGTAATCACACTCGTGATTGACAAATCGGATTCCTGCTTTGCGGTCGTCCGATTTTGCTAATCTCTCGTATGATTACAGACCGAAGTGGACTCCACTCTGTTCTATTACCATTATTTATCATTAGTATCATCATAGTTATAATCATCATCATGACTGTTATTACTATTGTTATCATTATTCTTACATGTACCATTACATTATTGTTATGATTATCACATTATTATTAAGTATCATCGTTATTATTATTATCGTTATTACTATTATTATTACTACTACTATTAATACTATTAACACTATATTACTATCCACATTATTCTTCTTCTGTCTTCAAATAAACTTTTTTTCAACTGACCTTTTGATTTTCGTCTTTTCTTTGTCGCCTGGCAGCTTCACTTGAATGATTTCAAAATAGTCCCTGAGGTTTCCAAAGCCAATTGCGACCAAGCGCTTACAAGGACAAACTGCATAACTTGGAATTCGTCGTTCCTCTACAATTTCACTAAGAAGATCACCAGATATAACGTTGTATAATCGAAGACACAAACCTCTTGGATCATTCAAGCCCACAATGCAGTCCTCGTTACTGATAAACTTAATGTTATCTACAACCATGTTCTCCAATTGACGAATCACTTTTCCCGAAACTGCGTCGAGGACGTAAGAGCCAGTTATAGCATAAGTGACGATGTATTCTTCAGTAGGAGAAAATAAAACATTTTTGTAACAGCTTTGTAGATCTACCTGAATAGAACTTTTCCATAGCACTTGGTTTTTACGCCACAGCTGCAGAAACTTTGCATCAGTGGCCGTTAGCACTTCATATTTATTATTACATGCCAAAAACATACCATCAAAACTTGCAATTGTTGACACAATTTTTTCACTTGTTGTATCTAGAGTGATGACTTCCTGTCGGAGATCCTTAATTGTATACAAGGCGACTCGTTTCTCTGATAAGGGTACAACAACCAAGAAAAAGCCAGTCCACCTTTGCATGCAAACAGACAACTCAGAGTTCCACAACTCAAGCGTTTCAAATTTTATTTGAAATAGGACACCTCTTTTGACGGGCACAAGATTCATAAATCCCTTTTTTCTAATCCTTTTACTTAAAACATCGCCAGTCACAAGATTTATTCGCTGGATCCTTGTACCTTTCACAGTATAAAGATAGTCACCATCAACAGAGAAATAAACGTCAACTGCTGGTTTAAAGTAATCATCTTCAACAAAACCGTTTCCCTCTATGTCCTCAAGTAGGGGTTCCTGTTGTTCCTGATCATCTAGGAAAGAGAGAACAGAATAAGGATCTAGGTAATTAAGTATTATCAACTGCGTTGATAACGTAAATTGGCCACCGTAAAGAGTTTAAAAGCTGACGTTTCGTCAGAGCGATTGACAGAGGGCTAACGCTCGGAACGATGGGCAGTTTACGTTATCAACTCATTTGGTAATACTAAATTACCCTGTTATACTCTCCCACCGACACAGCACCACAGTTTCTTTAGAAACTTACCCCCGTTAGAATAAGAATCAGCTCCATTCTCTGATAAGCTGCATAAATCAATTTCCAATCGTCCTGACAGTTCATCGAGTTTGAGCCTCTTTTCTGGTGGGTCATTAAATGCCGTTCGTTCTCCCACAAAGTCATCAAGTTCATCTCTCTTTTCCGTAGAGTTGTTACGTTCCATTGTCTGTTCAACTTGGCCACCGAGTTCAGCTCTCTGTTCTGATGGATCAGCAACTTCAGCTCTCTGTCCTGACAGAACATCGAATCCAGCTTTCTGTTCCAGCATATCGTTGATTTCTAGTAGGTTATGTTCCGTTAGATCGTTATTTTCGGCTCTCTCTGTCGTAATGTCAACGGGTTCTATGCTTAGTCCCGCTTCATCGCTACTCTCACCTCTCCACTCCCTTACGTCATTAAGGCGACACATTTCAATCACTTTACTGTAAGGGGAAACTCTTAGTAACATCTGCTTTTTTAGTACAAGTGCAAAATCCACAGAAAGGAATGATCTTATAGATGAACACCAAAAGGGATCTCCTGATAAGAAACCACTCTCATTGCAAGTTTCAAACTCTGAGGCGTACTGGTAGGACCTCGTCGTAAAAAAGCAATCCAAACTATATATTGACTTAGTGTTCCTGTCAATATCTAAACAAAAAAGCTTGGGCACCAGACACCAAACGTGTTCATCGTCATCCGAAACCAAACAGAAAAAAAACCGGCAGTCAGGAGTTAACTTAACATATCGTGAAGCTGAAGCACATATTAGAGTCTCAAATCCATCATTCATGTCAATGAGGTATACGCACTTGTCAGAATCGACGATCACCATCCGTCTTCCACTAGCAGACCAAGCAAAAGATACAATTTCGCATTCGTGTGTAAAACGACTAATTTCACTTCCATCTTTTAGACTCCACTGGATGACGCAATTCCCGTCCAGACAGTCAGTCAGCATCGTGCTTTTGTCGCCAGATATTGAACAAACTAAGAATCGGCACTCGCTCGAACGGAAAAGAGGTTTCACGTCTCCGACCAAGGTATAACCCTGACACAGAGTCCCTTGTAAGATCAGGTCTAAGGTTGGATGGAAAACTACTGACCGGTGAAATGGGGAAAGGAAATCCCATGCAATCCCTAGGTGCTCCTGAAAATCATTGTTTGATACCAGCGTAGAACGTGTCCACATTAGCTGGCCAGTACGGAGCGACCACAGATGAATTGTGTCATTCGAACACTCGCATACCAGGTAGTCCTGATTTGGTGAGACATCAAAGCAGATCACATTATCTGAGGCAAAAAACCGCAGTAGAACATCTGTTCTTTCCTCCTTCTTTCGCAAATATTCCATGTATGGTAAGTCCGCATACTTGGTGTTTAGCAAGCTTAATGCCTCCGCAGACAGTTCACGTCCTCCTTCATTCAACAAGATTTGAAAGATGGCATGAGGAAGTTTTGAAAGAGTACTTAAATGCTTCCGCAACAGCAACAATAACGTCTCCAGGGCTTCTCTGCAATTCTTTGACAAACCATTTGTATTTTCCTTCTCTTGTACGCAAAGAACATCTTCAGTGGCTGCTGTACTCTTCACAGTTAGCTTTGCATAGACCAATTCTAGGTCCAAAACATAATTCTTTACAATGTCGTCCAGGCTACATGGACGAGCATTCTCTTCTACCTCAAGTATATGCTGAACACCATGCTGCAAGGCATACCTCGACGTCTGTTTCAGTGTTGAACTCTGGATCCCTTTAAGTTTCAATTCATCTAGTTCATCTCTGCAAAGTTTTGCAATGACGCGATGACATTCTTTTCTGCTAACAATAAACTTCTTTTGCCTCGAAGTAGACTCCTCGACCAACCAGTCCTTGACTGACTTGTGAAAGAAGTCAATGCACTCGCCCTCAATGGGTAGAAGAGCCGAGATACAATCAACTGCGTCTCGTACTTTTTGCTCATCAGCCGATGACCATTCTTTTGAAAGGAACAACTTGTAGACAAACTCGACAGGTAATGGTTCTCTTGCTGCCACCATGGCATTTAAAAAATCAAAGAATTGCTCTTCGGTGATACCTAGTTCTTTCTGCATTTCCTTTTTCAGGCGTTTGAAGTAGTCTTGATAAACGGACGAAATACCTGATGGCAAGTCGCTGTTGATCACTTCAGCAGCATTCATACGTACAGCATTCTTCTTAATGAACTCTGTCAGGTAATAGGTATATAACATGACTCCTTCTGACTTTTCAACAAGCTTCTCTAAGATGGTATCTTGGCAATCAGATTGCAGAACATGTTCCAGTTGCTCTTGAAAGCAAAGCCTAACGTCCATCAAGTTTTCTTGATCGTTTGGGTTCAGCTGTATGGGATTTAAGTCTTGAATCTTCTCTAAGATGTTCATTTCAGGTCGCGTTGTTACCACAAATCGTATCCAACACGGAAGCGTCTTGAAGTAATCCGCAATCACATTTAAAAGCTCATTACGTCCCTGGTATTCACTTTCGTCTAAGCCATCTATAACCATGAGATGGATAGAGCCTGGGTCTTTCAAATCTGAAAGAGGTTCGTTAAACAAGAATTCAAACAGTTCTTCCACTTCCATGTCTCCAATTTCAACGCCCACATTTCTCGACAACTTCTTCACGAGAGCCTTCCTGTACTCTGGCAGCGATTCGGAGAGCTGACAGGCCAACGACTGCAGCATCACTTTGCGATTCCTTCGGCGTGCCATGTTATGCCGACAGAAGTGGCTCCCTGACAATCGTCCAGCCTCTAACATCTTTTGGCACAAGACAGCTGAGATTACAGACTTTCCCATTCCAGCATTCCCGCTAATAATAATCACTCTATTTGGAGAACTTTTGTTAGCTAACCAGCTCTCGACTTCTTTAAGAATCGATAAACGAGTTCCCTCAACATATCTGCTTGCATGGCGTCTTATTTCAGCTAAATTGTCCACCTTTGCTAGTTTCGCAAGAACTTTGTCATCCCTGATGCTCTCATTCTCGTCATTCAAATTTTGAATGGTGTGCTGGGATGCCTCCTCCAAAGTTTGAAGCTTCTCGCAGACTTTTTCAACTGTTAACTTGGTATCTTGAATGGCTTTACTGTCTTGAAGTCGATTCTGATGCACAATACTGACAGATTCTTGCAAGTTCTTTTGCAATTGATGAACTTCTACCAGCTTTGCTTTACTTTCACGAATAGTTTCGTGATCAAATGACTGAATCTGCCGTACTTCATCAACAGTTTGCAGCACTTGGGTCTCAATATCCCGTATGTCCTTCAGCTGTGATTTTATATCTTCCTCAGAATCAGCCCACTCAAGCAACGCATCTAAGAACTCTTGCTCTCCACAATGCTCAGCCTTCAATCTATCAATTTCTGTCCGCCGCAAGCCAAGAGCAACAAGAACAGCACTTATCTCCTGCCACAGAGTTGAGAAAGTTGGACCAGCAATACCAGTTGTGGTAACATGGCCATACAATTCATTGCGGTAAAACTTTATGCGAGCAAGATTTGCTTCAAGGGAGTTGTCACTTAAAAGTGGTTTGGTGTGCCACCCTGAGTGGGGTGGGAAGAGACCACAAATGTTGGTTAAGAGAAGGAATAAAAGAGTGATATCAAATGTCTGGGAGTCTGGAGGAGCACCGCTTGGAGGAAACAATAGATCCCATTGTGATCTGTGTAAAATTCGTTTCTTTAAGAGAGTATTCAGAGTTGAATAGTTTGCATTCAACGCGGCTGAAAGACTTGCTGGGGGATGATATCCATTGAAAACGTTCCTGAGAACTGTTGTTCCACCATCGATGAGAAGTCGGCTGAGCTTGGCTCCATTTGTCTTCTCAACAGAACTGGCAAGAGGTGAAGGAGTAGCTGACGCCATATGATCCAAAATACAAAGATGGAGTCATCAAGTACACCTGCGCGTTTTCTGAAAGAAACATTACAATTGGGTAATTGCTTCTCTTAGACATGTACTGGAAAGAGGAGCAAAACCTCTCCACTCTACTAATCAGTTTGACTCCTTCAACACTATTTAATCCTTTACACCCTAGTGTCATAATGCATATTCTCCATACTTTCTTCACACATTTCCTAAGGTGCTGACAAGGAGATTTTGTTTACTGATCAAAAGGTTCTCTTTAATTAATAATCACTACCTTCATTCTCATGACCCTAACACGTGATTCAGGGTTGATATTGTAGGGAGAAATTAGATGCTGGTCACTCTTTGGGTTCAAAGGGTTAAAGAAACCTGTCATCTTTAGAGTATCAGGGATTGTTTTTGCGCTCTGAAGGAATAATATACCTATATAATCGTGTCTCTATAGAAGTTTGTTGACTAAAATATTATAAACTTATCATCAAATCTGCGCTGTATTAACACAAGGGAGACATTTTATAATGATAATTACAAACTACAATACTCCAGGTATCTTCAGTTCATACTCATAGGATAATAATAATTATTATTTGACAGCCTTATGGTTACCTGAGCTCCCCCACACACCATTTGCAATCCTTTGTTGATCACGTTTTAGTGATGTCACAGTGGTATTCCAAAAGCCAGCTGATTGGTCAGACAAGGAGCCAGCTGAAGGAATAAAGTCTTTGGGATCAGAGATTCCTGAAAAAAATCAAATCACATAACAAAAGTTATTAATAGTATTTCACCACTGAACCACTCAAAATGTTAACTGGAGGCTTTGTAATGACAAAAAATTCACTGCTCAATAGAACACAGGAATGAAAATGATAAAAAATTTAATTCAAAATTTAATGCAGTTAAATACTGACAACAATTTTTAAAATTTTGCTTGTCAGTGTTTTCACTTTAGGGAAATAATTTAACATATATGACTGAGTTCCCTTAGCATTGGTTTACACCAGCAATAGAAGCATTACAAGCCAATTCTAGAGTGGGGTCTTAAGTTAAAAGAGGAAAGAAGTTTTCAGAGAGTATGTCATAATACCCCATCAAAACTACTGCCACTAGAAGGGCATGGAAGCCTAAATCTCTCTTGTTATCTAGCAACAGGAAACTCCAAAGAGCTAATGTTGGGTCAGAAGAGGTACCCCACTACTTTTGACTGCTCATAAGCCACAATGCCAGACATTTTCCTTACAAAATAACCACATTACATGTAATAGGATCACACACAAAGTGAGTGAACATTTTCTTACTGTTGGTTATGTATACATTCTGTATTGTGACCCTGACAGCATAACCCAAGCAAGAACAACATATCTTATGAAATGAAACCCATGAAAATTTCTTATGCAATACTTTCAAAGAAAAAAAATTATTATTTTTTACCTTTTTCTGGTATATTTAATAAGCAAACATTATATTGCAATGTTCAGTACTCATCAAAATTAATTCAGACCTGGCCAATTTTTTATTTTCAGAACTTTTAACCCTTTACACCCTAACATCACTATGTATATTCTCCTTACAGTTATCTAAATATTTCCTGAGAGGCTGACAAGGAGAATTTGCTTAACAATCAAGAGCTTCTACAGTTGGTGATTACCTCTTTTATCCTTATAATGTTTGATTCACAGGTGATATTGTGGGGGAAAATTTGATGCTGATCACAACTGGGAGTTAAAAAGTTAAATGTATACCACTTGTTCTTAGTTTTTTACTTTCATAGTTCTGTGACACTTTTTTGAGGTTGTGGAACACTTGTAACATGAGCCTCTGGGCAATGATAAGTTGGTTAATTAAAGCCCTCTCAGGTGGGCATTACTATAGTTATTCAGCTGTAAGAAGTTTCCAGTTATATTAAGAACCCACAACTTGAAGAATTGACAATGTCTACAAGTCAGTTAAAAGATCAATAAATAGTCTTAGTGATTCACACATGCACAGTAAGATGGAAAATTCTGTCAACAGACTAAGAGTAAAGCAAAAAATCAATTTAAATCATAAACAAACACTGTGACAAAGCTGCACCAAAATACTTTGCTACAAGATGCACTCTGAGGTCAGCATATGTTTTCCATGGGAGAGGAAAAACAGTGCACCTTAAAACCAAAGAACTATCATATGAGACTTTAAACTGTAGATGGGAATTTTGAAGTGAACATGAACATGAAAGTTTTTTTAAACACTCTAAGTATAAACCAATTCCCAAAGCAGAATAATGAACAATCTTCATTCTGCTACAAAATCAAAATTTATCATCTTTCTCATTCTCATATGATGCTTTCCAAATTGTTGATCCTGGCAGAATGCAGTATGGCATGTCACATATGAACTTAATTTTGGCCTGGCTTGTTTTACTGCCAGAAGGAAACACCAAATTTTTATAATAAGAATAATGAACCATTAGACCACATATAATAAATCATTGAAAAGGTATTTTTGGGTTATGCTATAAATGACACCAACAGGTGTGGAGGTGGTAACTGAAAAGACAGAGAAGTGTCAAAAGTGAAAAAAAATTTGTTTTTGCTTTCCTGGTACATATAGGGTATACCAATAAACTGTAGCTTAAATTGCAGCTCTCAGAGCATTGATTGTTGTAAGATATCACCTGAACTAAGACAGTACAAAGACAACAGGTTCTAGAAGTTGCAGGAGTGCTAAATCAAGTCTGATATTGGAGGGGGCCATGATTTTATACCTTCAGTGTGCCGATCTTTCAATGACCTTTAGGTTGTGAAAATTTCAGAAACTATGATTATATACTGAGCATGTAATAGCATCTTATGCCCACTCTCAGACAATAAAGGGTTTAAATGTTTTCTCAAGCCAGAAGGTGGACCATTGAAGCATGAAATGCAAAGACCTGGGGTCTAAGTCAAACTATTTGGACACTGGCTTCAATAAAGTGCAGGGCATGACATACATGTGCATCTAGTTACACCAGCAGGGTGAATGTATGAAACACAAGGTGAAACACTACAGTTCACAAACCTAACCCTGGTTTAAGATTTACTTCAGTCAAATTGTCAACATGGTTTTGAGGCTAAACTGCCATTGAACCAAACTGATTTATGTGGCATGAAAATGCTTCCAGCATTCAACTTTTAAATGACTGTCCATATCATAAAATCAAAAGTGTTTTGCCTTACCACCAAACCAATATCCTAAATATTATCTTAAAATAGAAATCATTTTTGGAATCATGTGATGTACATTACTGCATGGAAATATACAAATGCACATGTATTTATGTTTAATTTGCTGCAGCTTATCCTACACATAGGTAGACATGGAACTTGAACAAACCAATTTTCAAAGTTTAAATACCAGGGGTATTGCCTGAGAGGGGAATGTTGAAGCTCTGAATTGACTACTGCTAAGGGAAATCTGTCTAATTTGCTGTTCCCCTTTACTTAAAGTAAGTCTGTGAAATATTCACTGTTTAAATCATAAACATTTTCAAGATCTACAAAACCCTCACCTAAGTACAGGGATATTGAGTCTTATGCTCTATGCTCTTTAGCAGTTCTACTTTAATTAATTAATTCCTTGTAACAGAAGAAATCAATCAAAACTCACAGAAAGTTAAGTGCAAAAAAAAAAGACCACTGACTGTAAACTTCTAATGTTGTATTTAAAAATTACCATTAAAAGTTATGAGGTTTGCTTTTTTTCAAGTCATATTCCTCTATTAGGGAAAATGGCCATTTCATCTGAAAATCTAAAGCTGAGAATGTTTAATGAAATAACAAAACATGATAAAATCTACATAAAACATGATCACAGGAATATAAACCAAATCACTTGGCTGATATCAATAGGAAAGCCTGCCTGGGGAAAAACATTTTCATACAGTTGGTTCTGTACACTTTCAGTACTGTGATCTTGACAACATAACTCAAGCAAGAGCAACATATCATATTAAATGAAACCCATGAAAATTTCTTACGCAACACTTTTAAAAATAAAAAAACAATTTTATCTTTTTCTGGCATATTTAATTAGCAAACAGTATGTTGCAAATTTTATTGTGCTCATCACAATTACTTTAGACAATGCTAATTGATTATGGTAAAAGAGACTTCTTGCAGGATTAAATTGCTTAATCAAAACAATTCCAACAATCTTTTGTTTGGATCAACAAATATGGCCGCCAGAATGCTCTCCGCCAATGAAGCAGTTGGAGACTAGAGAAGTTCTCAGCTTATGGTAAAACTACTGACAATTGGAAGCCTAAATCTTACTTGTAATCAAGTAACAACAGAACAACAGAATTTATACTGGGTCAGAAGAGGTTACCATAACTTTTACTTCTTTACACTTTAACATCATGAGCCTTTGGGCAGTAATAAGTTGGTTAATTAAAGCCCTCTCAGGTGGGCTATATTGTAGTTATTCAGCTGTAAGAAGTTTTGAGTTGTAAGAAGAACCTAAAACTTAAGAAATTGACAATGTCAACACATGAGTTGAAAGACCCATCATAAGTCTTAGTAATTGACACATGCACAGAAAGAGTGAAAATTCTGTCAACTGACTTACAGTAGAGTAAAGCAATCAATTTAAATGATATACACACACTGTTAAAGGCTGCACCAAAATACCTTGCTATAAGATGCACTCTGAGTTTTGCATCTATTTTTCAGGGAAAGGAAAATTTTCTCATTAAAACAGTGCACCTCATAACCAAATAACCATCATATAATAATCTGTTTATTGATCCTCACACATGAGTTACGTTGTCTGGATGGTCATTTTGAAGTGAACATTAAATTTTAGTTATATGTTACTGCTTGGAGAATTCTGTCCAATTCGCTGTTCCATTCTACTGAAGTAGGTCTGTGAAAGATTTACCACTGAAATTACAAAAATTTTCAAGATCTACAAAACCCTCACCTAAGGTCAGGGATATTGAGTCTTATGCAGTGTAAGCTCTTCTGCAGTTCTACTTTAATTAATCAATTCCTTGTAAAAGAATAAATCAATCAAAACTCACGGAAAGTTTAATTATAGTGCAAAAAAAAAACACTACTGTTAAATTTCTAGTTTTGTATATAAGAATTTCCAATTGAAAGTTAAGAGGTTTGCATTTTTTCGAGTCAATTGTTCCTCTATTTGGGAAAATAGCAGAAAATACAGCAATCAGTCATAATTATATTCTCACTAACCTCACTGGTGAGAAAAAGGTTCAGTTTTATCAAGAGAAACAATGGCAAACTAGGAACACGTCTCGTTGTAGAAAATGTGCTTAATACCGAAAGAAAATGCAACTATACTCGAGTCGAGTACGGAGGACCAGGAGACTCGAATTGGCGGGGATCTAAAGGATTACAAAATCACATGCCGTCATGACATAAGTCATTCATGGTCCTAGTCACTCACTGATGCCATTACAGATTCCTTTTATGAGTCATGCGATTCCTTCCGAGATGTATTTTCCATACTACGCAAAATACTTCGCTCAAAAACCCTTTCTTTTCTCTTTCCTTTCTTAGGCCGGTGAAGGTCGAAATGAAATGTCATTATGTTAGTTCCTTCAAGAAATCTTCCAAATCATAAACATTTTATCAAAAGTTTTATGATTGAATCTGTTAATATTACAAAAATTTAAAAATTTACATTTAATTCAACTTTGCGATGCGATGATCTTTGAATTGATTTCCTCAAGTCGAGCCGGTCGCTTTTCTTGAGAGGTAAATTAGTGTTAACAACTGAGTTGAAAACGTAAATAAGCCACCGTAAAGGGTAAATAAGCTGACGTTTCGAGCTTTAGCCCTTCGTCAGAGCGAAGAATTAGGTTCCCACTCGCAAGTATAGATCTGTGCACCTATCACAGATGACATCAAACTGCTTCATATACCGAATGATCGGCACAAAATGGTCATATCGTAAAAAAAATTTACTTAAAAATGAATTTTTACGTGGCGACGAATGAAATCAAAAGCGGAAGTGATTATAGATGTATTGGTTTGATGCCTAATGCATTTCTCTACACAACAGGCTATTGAAGAAGAAAAAAGTGAATGATAACGAGCTTATATTCCCATAAATGATAAAATAAGCGAAAAAAATATTTTCAATCTAACCTTTTGGGAAAACAGGTCAACAGCCTTCCAACGATGAAGCCAGATACCGAGGAATCCAGCGCCTCGAAATTTCATTTTCTTTTCTTATCCCTCATTGAACTCTGGGACTGATTATTATCTCAGCAAATAATCCACTTCTAATCGTCACGCTATACAAACGCTTTATGGAAAGTAATAGTTATCGTTAGGTGTGTTTAGCAGAGAGCCCCTGAACACGGTTGTAACGTCAGACTTTTCGAGCTTACTGAGAATTATTTCAAGAAAGCAATTAAGTAATTTTTTTGTGTTTACATAGCCTTTTCTAAGCACTCGGACGATTGGGAGAATTCTCAAAAGTTTTGAAAGCGCCTCAGGTTTGCATGACTTGAATTCTTCTAAATCCGCTGTGTGAACACGGGAAAAGTCCTCTATCGATTAACTACAGGTATCAGATAAGCAAATTTTAACATGCACTTTGACCGCATTTTTCGTGATCTTTCGGCGGAGAAGGACGAAAAGTTGACCTCATTTTTGCGTTATCTGTGACTAACTACGGAACAGATGTCACGCAGTCACTTTTCAGGAAGTTTTAAGCATTAAAATTGAAAATGAACCCATCTGTCTAAAATCAAAAGAAACAGAGAAACACTGTGGGAGGGGGGAAGAGGGGGGAGACGGGGGAGAGGGGGAGGGAGGGGGAGCAGAAGCAAGGGTGTAAGGGATAAAAATGGTTTGCCAACGCAGAGTTTTGCATTTTCAGCAGTAACGAGTCAACAATTTTGTGGTCGATTGTGGCTGTACCTTTTACTCAGATTTATCCTGCATTATAGATAAAATTGTTAATGCGTAACATTTACAACGGTATCGTGAAAGTACATCCGGACGAAGGGACGGTTTTCGTGTCAATCTGCTTTTTCGCTTCGAAAAGAACATATGGAAAGAATGCGAGCAAGACAACATTTTGAACTTGAGGTCATGATTTAACACCTCAGTTCCTTGGTGAAATACTGCTATGAGTATTTGACGTCTAAACTCGTGCAAAACTCAGGCTTGGAATGATAATTCAAACACACTTATCCTTGACACTTACAACTGGCCTAAAAAAGTTTTGGTGAAACCACACAAATTGTCATGTAAGACGATTTTAAAAGGGCGATTTCGCCTTATTCGTACGAGCGGTCGTAAAAATTCCCATACAAACTCTTATAATTCCGCAATGTCTCTTATTTCACAGCTGGAGCTTGGGCCACCTGTGTTTAACCTGCATTTAACCTGCATTTTGTGCTGACAGCTTCATAAAATTCCTTTGACAAACTGAAAGTGGTTTCAATATTACAAAATTAATATCTCGCTTACGTAACGGAACGTTGGGGAAAAAACTGACTATTAGCTATAAAAATATATTTTATTCTTTTGTCCCATTCCAGATCTAATTCACATCGGGTAAAAACTGCCAATTATTGGTTTTTGTTAGTACCGTCAACAACTGGAAGAGGTACATCCATCGAGATAAACCAGCCTAGTCTGTTCACAGATGATCACAGATCTGATCATCGTCCAGGGCTCGAGGGATAAAAGCGAATACGATCAGGGGATAAAACGAAAACAGTCACAGGGGGGAGGGGTGGGTCAAATTGAAGATTTGTGTACAAATCGTAACAGAATGCTTGCGGTTGTCCTCAAGTAGTCACTCGAACAGCTGCGGACAGACTAAAAACAGTCTGGTATACCGGCTCCCACGTCGCTTCTGTCGAGCTAAGCTGAGAACTTCTCTAGTCTCCAACCGCTTCATTGGCGGAGAGCATTCTGGCGGCCATATTTGTTGATCCAAACGAAAGATTGTTGGAATTGTTTTGATTAAGCAATATAATCCTGCAAGAAGTCTTTGTGAAAGCCTGGTCACTAGTTGAGAGCCGCGTGTGGTGACGTCAATTTTGATTCGCTGTTTGAAGGAGTGGCAAAGAGGTAGAGCCTGGGTACAAGGCTAACCAAGAGCCTGAAAACAAGCTACACTATCGTTTTACTATTTTACTTTTTTGCCAACTGCAATCGGTGAAAATCCCTTTCAATCCTGCATGTCGTTAACCCTACTTCTTCGCTTTGAGCGAGGAGGGAAGATAGACTCACTCCGCCGCGAGGACCCTCGAGGATTACGCGGTAGATTTACGAAGATCACGAAAGCCGCATATTAAACGCATCATCAGGCAATTTATCAAGGTTAGTTTTCCTTGTATCCGGAGCGTTGTACAGCCTCGTTTTCTCATGATTACAAGACAAGGTGGAATTAGTACTCGCTGCTACGTAGAACGTAGCTTCGTCAAATTCCACATCGTCTCTGTAAGGTGTTTTCAAGCGTTTCAGAATAGTTTGAACCTGCAAAAGAACAGGAGAAGGAAATGTAAAATGTTATCAGTGCATCTTAAACCACATATACGTTAGTGCTTGCAAGTATTACCTTCGCAAGGTTTCCTTTGCATTGTAGATGGAAAAATAGTCCTAAAAGAATCCCTTTCCAAAAGATGACAAACGAGTCTCCGTGTTGAAATACGACAAAGGAAAATGTCAGGAAAAAATTTTTGTCAGTGTATATGACCCATTAGCTTTGACGAAGTGCTAACGCTCGAAACGTCGTCTTTGGAAACTCTTTGCGGTGGCCAATTTACGTTATCAACTCAGTAAATAATACCAAATTTTCCAACAAGGACACTTCTCAAATAATTTTGCACAGAATCTCGGGAAAATTTTGCGCCGACGAGTTTCTTCTAACAAGCGTCTTTGACTCGCGTATATTTTCTTTGCCCGCCAAAGTAAAGAAAGGAATAAAACCAAATGACTTTCTATTTCCCTGTTGGTCATAATCTCTTTCGATCGTGCTGGATGAAAATTAAGGTAAAATTTTTGCACAGCCCAACACTATTGTAAAACAAATCTGTTTTTACAATAGCAATGTATTGTTTTTGTCATTGTTTTCTCTATCCAAGAACTGAATACATAATGTAGCATGGGGCTGTGGGGAAATTTTACCGAAATAAACCTGCAAATAAGTATGCAACGTTTTTCAAGATTAAAAATGTTTGACGGGTTCTACTGGTTTCACTGCTCTTACCAAAGAAAAGTCTCCATTTTCTGCGGCCTCTATAGCTCTTTGGGCGATGTAATTTCTAAGAAGAAACCTGCGAAGAAAATATTTGCACAACGATATATAAAAAAAACTTGGAGATATGAACAGAAATAAAACTCGTCAATGTCAGAATTCTTTTTGCTTCAGCGATTAAATTCCAAACGATGTAAAGAACCAGTAGCTTTATGCTCAGGGCGATGAAATTCAGTGAGTAAGGGCTCGAGTGCTGGCCGTGTCAATGTGTTTTGGTCATAAGCTGGACATATAGTTCTCGTGGTAACTATCTCTGGAAGGTAAGTTACCCGGGAAACGTAACGAAAAGTAGAGGAGGGGGGGGTGTGTGGGGAGGGAGAGTAACCCTGATTGGCAATACTCCCGAGGGGATTTCTCGCCAAAGAAACAGGAATAAGCTCCGACGGCAGTGCGAGACAATCTCACAAGCACACTTCACTTTATGCCTCGATAATTCCAAAAAAACAAGGTGTTGGTTACAGTGAAGTCATTTTCGCCGGTGTATTTGTCAATTTTGATCTCTAGTCGCGTATTGATTCTCATTGGAGAGAGTCGGTAATGGTGGATACAGGGCTTGAGGCCAACATTTCATTCTTCAAGAAGAACACAAACAAGTACCTTGGGTTGCTGGATTTCATTACCTTGACTCGTTCTTTGTTTACCTGTGTGCGAGAGAAAAAAAGTCAGTAAATCAGTAAAAAATTAAAAGGAAAGATGAGTTCTTCAAAGAGTTATTTTCAAATGAATGGAAGTGTCGTGTTTACTTCTTAAACATTATGATGGTCGCATTCCTGATCAAGACGATCTCTTGGTAAATGAGAGAAAATAAAAACAAAAGGAAGAAGGAATAATAAATGAAGACAAGAATTCACTTGTCAACTATAATGTAATAGCATACCTAATTATACACCAAATACAAATTAACCCCTTCTCCCCTTGAACGATGTTGAAGTTTGTTGTCTGTGATTATACAATATTCAATAGGGAGGAAGGTATTACAGCGAACTTCGGTACATTTAAACCTCATTTATTATTACTTCCTTAAGAGCAGCTACGTGGATGTCATGTGTCCATTAATTTTGTCCTACATTTACGATCACCCTTGTGGTTTCTTACACGTAATCAATGATTCCCACTCACTGGTAAGCTGTGATCCACTGCGTCCATAAAACACGGTCGTTATTCCCTTTTCCGTTTTGCGTTGACACCTGAGTTGACGGTCGGTCGATCAACCAATTAATTAATCAAACCATTAATAAATCAATTAAGTTTTATCAACCAAGTCGATAATTTAAATCGGTCGCGTTTTCCGATGAATAGTAGTTTCAATTAGCGTAAATTACCGCTACGCGAGCTCATTTGAAAGGCGTGGGAACAAGTGACGTGAGCCGGGGAAAACAAGCTCTGTGGGAGACGCTCAGTGAATTATGGGACGGATGCTCACATTTCATTTGTTGAGGTGAAGTGGCTAAGATTCCTGGCATACTTTTCTCTCTGTTTATAATGGTAAACCACTATCTATGAGGCCAAAAGAGAATCAGGTCCAATTCTCTTGACAAAATAAAATGGCGTCGCGATTACTTCGCTGGGCTCTGGATAAAGAAGCTCAGGTTCAACGCCAGGCAGGGTCATTGTGTTGTGTTTTCAGGGAAGAAACAATGGCCCTCCCCTCAAAGGATTAACTATCATGGAATTCTACGAAATGTTGAAAGTTATGTCCTATGGACTGGAATTCATCCAGGATGCCTGTATTCTCGTTCTAAAGAATTTGAGGTAAGCCCCACCTGTAATGAACTGCTAAGCCCAGAAGAGTTTACCGACAACCTCCCGCAGATAAATGCCAGAAACCCGGTGCTACAACACTTTTCGACCTAAGAAAAAAAGGTCTAATCGCTGGCTATTTTCGAACTAACCTCCATTCAAGAATCGTCGAATACGCTTTGATTAATCCTTCCAGAGCAACACATTGAGACACAAGGTATTCAACGATGTCTTCATCGCTAAGAACAGAAAACATACGAGGTGACTAATCAGCTACAGTGCGCAAAGTCAGCTTTGAACGATAGAAAACCCTAGTATGATCCAAAACTGAATTAGCTTTAAATTAGTACCAACAATCACGTGAATATAAAACCAATTTTTTTAAGGAACCCGTCTCTTGATTTGAATTGAAGCTGTGATCTGTTATCAAAGTCTATGTCACTTTTCCGAGTCTTTTCGGTCACATGATCTATACTTTTACATCAGTTAAAGACGCTAGCGTAGTGCTCTGCAGCAATGGCCGAATGCAATTCGAACTTGCTTTCAGTTTACCTCTGTAAAGTCTGCGATTTGATAGATATAACTCAACCCTTTGGCTCCCAAGAGTGACCAGCATCTAATTTCTCCTTACAATATCTCCCCTAAATCAAATATTATGGTCATGGGAATAACGGAAATGATCACCAACTAAAGAAGCTCTTGATTGTTAAACAAATTCTCCTTATCAGCACCACAAGAAATGTATAAATAACAGTATGGATAATATGCATACTGATAGCAGCGTGTAAAGGGTTAAGTCACCTTCACCAATCAAAAGGAAAATCAAGATCCATCGCGCCTTGTTCATCCGCGCTCTCCTCAACGACTTCTATGATGCGACTGAGAACGAATCTGCCACCGCCATCGAGTGTTAATCGGTACTAATTCACGAAACTGCGAAACATATCCCAGGACGTGCGAAGCTACTATGCAGCTTTGAACTAGGTTGTTTGGATCTCAATATATGTTGGTGCTTGACAGGGGATATGCGAACCTGTATAGGGCATTTATAAACGCTCAAAACCAAAGTGACATGTTTTGGGCAAGCAGCTTTAACTATAGGTTTAATTATCTTTAAACCCTAAGACCGATTGGCATCTAATTTCTCCTTAAAATATCTCCCCTGAATCAAGAAATGAAAGAAAGGAAATGATCACTAACTAAATAAGCTCTCGATTGTTAAACAAATTCTCCGTGTCAGTACCTTAGGAAATGATTCGTGAACTTCATGGAGAATACAGATTCTGATGTTAGGGTGTTCTCCTGTCAACGCCCCAAGTTATGAACTGTGTGGTGACGCCCTTAAATTTCAGGCTCCTACTTGGTGTAGAAGACACTGATGACGTAGAAAAATATAGGAAAAAAAAAAAGAACAAGGAAACTAGTTTAAGCAGTAGGTTGATAATGCGATGTTCTATTGTGTCCTGCGTCTTCTCTTCCATGAAGAAGCAGAATTTTACGAGGTGATTCAAATTAGTAATGGGTGAGGTGTTTTCTACTCTTAATTTATGGGGTGTCCTGAGATAAAAGTGGTTTGACTAGTTTATTTCACTAAGTATGCTTTGCATATGTTCTTTTTATCTCCGTTATCACTTTATGGAAATTAGAGAGGGAGATTTCCTGATTCGGAAGGTGTGTAAAAAATTCCTTTTCTGGTTAAAACTCTTCAACAGAGGAGCCCAGTAGAAAATTTTCCTGAAGCCTTCCTCCTTCTCCCCCGACCCTTCAGAAGGTCAGGCTGTTAGGGCCCAGCGTACCCGTTTGGGAGGAGTAGATAAGGGTCAGCACGTTTCAGCCTCTCACCACCCTGGTGAGGTTGACTATGCGACGATGCCCTGACTCACACGGGCACCTTACCAAATGACTACTAACAGCCACCTACTGGAGGTTAGGGCTATGCCTACAGAATTTCACATCAACTGGACATTGAATCCTTCTCAGTTTTAATTTTATTGTAAAACTACTTCACTTTGAGTGACTACAGCCCCACCTTCACGACAAAAGAAAGTTTTTCAAAAATTAAGTAATGTCTTCAAATTTCAAAAACACACGTAAACTAATTTGTATGCAAAAAATCAGCGTATTGAATATCCTTCTTTTTTCTAGAAAATAATGTAAGAGAAACGATTTCTGCGCGGTTGTTCTGGTTTCATCTTCAACCGGGCCGGTATAAGCTATGTGCACATAAAATGGATATAAATTTAGCTGGTTCTTATTTACACATAGTTGAAAGTACCTCTTTCACACGAAATATACGAGAGAATCACTAGTGTTACCACAAGTTATTTCTCTCTTCTTCTCAAACAGTCTAAAGCTGTACAAGTAATTTTGCAGAAAATGAAGTTAAGGCCTTTCTGAGAACTTTACATTTTGTCAATACCTTTTTCGTTTTCCTCGAGGAATTAATCTCACGAGTTAAACGAGTTGCAAATCAACACTAAACGAGATGCTTACTACACTCCGCTTCCATAAAACAATTTCTCAGCTTGTAGCTGGGTGATTAAACACCAGAGGAGAAATAAAATATATCCTTAACCCTTTAACTCCTAGATCCAATTTACAATTCTCCTTACAGTCTACCATACAATTCTTATAAAGTTATTCAGAGATTTTAGTGTTGAATCAACTCATCCCCAAATTGAGATTTTTCTTTATTCTCATCACTTATCTGGTTGATATTCTATTGATTTTGTAAGGAGAAATTCTGTCTTGGTCACTCATGGGAGTTACAGCGTAAAATATTTGTCTTAAGTTTACGCTAGGAACAGTTAAAAATGTTTATGAAGTCTCTACAAGAAAAATATAATTTAAACCCTGAAAAGCTTTGTCACTGAAATCATTCTTGTACTCGCTCCAATCTCGATCAGCGGTCTCTCCTGTTCAGATGTCGGGACTAGATGATCGTAACCACTCGAATGCAAAGAAATCAGAGGAATACAGCCTTTCTGATAATGTCTTTCCCATTCAGCAACGAAACTGTAAATCTCTGTAGATGTCCTACTCTGGGAGGTTCAACCTAAGGTAAAAATTCAATAATAGACGTTAAGTCAAAGGCAACATCTCAAGTAATAGAGTATTTTTTAGTAAATTAACCTGTTATCAGTATTTATTTTTCATAAATCATTCTGTACAGTTGTAACCGGACAGTTGTCTGTAATCGGACACCTGAGAATCGGATAGTTGAAGCGTCCAATCATACTGAGTCCTTTCCGCCAAATCCACCAATCACAGAATTGATCACAACAACCATAGCAACAACCACTAACACTAAAAAAAATGTGGAATTTCCAAAATTGAGAAATTTTTCTTTTTAGAAATTGTCTCTACCGGAGATATTTGTCCTCAATGTGTTTGTTGTCTTCGGAAATTGTAACGGTTATGATAAATTGATATAGGACTTTGTGTCGTCCAATTGTGTCTATAATCACACTCGTGATTGACAAATCGGACTCCTGCTTTGCGGTCGTCCGATTTTGCTAATCTCTCGTATGATTACAGACCGAAGTGGACTCCACTCTGTTCTATTATCATTATTTATCATTAGTGTCATCATAGTTATAACTATCATCATAACTTTCTTACTACCACTGTTATCATTATTATTACATGTACAATCATTATTGTTATCATTATCACATTATTATTAAGTATCATTCTTATTCTTACTACTATTAATACTATTAACATTATATTATTATCCACATTATTCTTTTTCTGTCTTCAAATAAACTTTGTTTCAACTGACCTTTCGATGTTTGTCTTTTCTTTGTCGCCTGGCAGCTTCGCTTGAATGATTTCAAAATGGTCCTTGGAGAATCTAAAGCCAATTGCGACCAAGCGCTTACGAGGACAAACTGCAAGACTTTCAAATTGTCGTTGCTCTACAATTTCACTGAGGAGATCACCAGATTTAACGTTGTATAATCGAAGACATAAACCTCTTGAATCATTCAAGTTCACAATGCAGTCCTCGTTACTGATAAACTTAATATCATCTACATCCATGTTCTCCAATTGACGAATCACTTTTCCCGAAACTGCGTCGAGGACGTAAGAGCCAGGTGCACCATAAGTGACGACGTTTTCTTCAGTAGGAGAAAAAATAGCACTTGGAAGGCTAAATAGATTGAACTTAGTAGAAGTTTCCCATAGCACTCGGTTTTCACGCCACAACTGCAGTGACTTTCCATCAGTGGTGGTTAGCACTTCCCATTTATTATTACATGCCAAAAAAATACCATCAAAATTTGCAATCTTTGACACAATTTGTTCACTCGTTGTATCTAGAATGGTGACTTCCCATCTGTCATCAAAGTTATTCCTCGTTTTCAAGGCGACTCGTTCCTCTGATAAGGGTACAACATCATCGACAGGAAACTCAGTCCACCTTTTCATGCAAACAGACAAATCAAAGTTCCACAACTCAAGCGAGCCATTAACTGTTCGAAATAGGACACCTCTTTTGACGGGCACAACACTTACAGACTGTGCAAAAATCATACATCCCTTTATTCTGATCCTTTTACTTAAAACATCGCCAGCCACAAGATTTATTCGCTGGATCGTTGTACCTTTCACGGTATAAAGAGAGTCACCATCAACAGAGAAATGAACGGCAAAACTTGTTGGAAAGAAATCATATCCAACAAAACCGTTTTCCTCCATGTCCTCAAGTAGAGGTTCCTGTTGTTCCTGATCATCTAAGAAAGAGAGAACAGAATAAAGATCTAGGCAATTAAGTATTATCAACTGCGTTGAGTTTACGCCATGTTATACTCTCCCTCCGACACAGCACCACAGTTTCTTTGGAAACTTACCCCCTTTAGAATAAGGATCAGCTCCATTCCCTAATAAGCTGCATGGATCAGTTTCCAATCGTTCTGAGGTTTCATCGAGTTTGAGCTTCTTTTCTGGTGGGTCATTAAATTCCGTTCGTTCTCCCACAAAGTCATCAAGTTCATCTCTCTTTTCCGTAGAGTTGTTACGTTCCATTGTCTGTTCAACTAGGCCACCGAGTTCAGCTCTCTGTTCTGATGGATCAGCAACTTCAGCTCTCTGTCCTGACAGAACATCGATTTCAGCTTTCTGTTCCAGCATATGGTTGATTTCTGGTAGGTTATGTTCCGTTAGATCGTTATTTTCGGTCGTAATGTCACCGGGTTCTATGCTTAGTCCCGCTTCATCGCTACTCTCACCTCTCCACTCCCTTACGTCATTAAGGCGACACATTTCAATCACTTCACTGTGAGAGGAAACTCTTAGTAACATCTGCTTTTCTAGTACAAGTGCAAAATCCACAGATGAGAATCCTCCAGATGAGTACCAAAAGGGATCTTCTGATAAGAAACCACTCTCATTGCAAGTTTCAAATTCCGAGGCGTACTGGTAGGAACTCGTCCCAAAAATGCAATCCAAACTATACATTGACTTAGTGTTCCTGTCAATATCTAAACAAAAAAGCTTGGGCTCCGGAAACAAATGACGTTCATCCGCAAGTATACAGAAAAAAAACCGGCAGTCAGGAGTTAACTTAACATATGGTGAACGAACTGAAGCACATATTAGAGTCTCAACTCCATCATTCATGTCAATGAGGTATGCGCACCTGTCAGAATCGACGATCACCATCCGTCTTCCACTAGCAGACCAAGCAAAAGATAAAATTTCGCATTTGTGTGTAAAACGACTAATTTCGCTTCCATCTTTTAGACTCCACTGGATGACGCAATTCCTCCCGTCCAGACAGTCAGTCAGCATCGTGCTTTTGTCACCAGATATTGAACAAACTAGGAACTGGCACTTGCTCGAACGGAAAAGAGGTTTCACGTCTCCAACCAAGGTATAACCCTGACACAGAGTCCCTTGTAGGATTAGGTCTAAGGTTGGATGGAAAACTACTGACCGGTAAAATGGGGCGAGGAGATCCCATCCTTCCCCTAGGTGCCCCCGAAAAATAATGTTTGATACCAGTGCAGAGCGTGTCCATATTAGCTGGGCAGTACGGAGCGACCACAGATGAATTGTTTCATTCAAACACTCGCATACCAGGTAGTTCTGATTTGGTGAGACATCAAAGCAGATCACCGCATGTGGGGCAAAAAACCGCAGTAGAACATTTGTTCTTTCCTCCTTCTTTCGCAAATATTCCATGTATGGTAAGTCCGCATACTTGGTGTTTAGCAAGCTTAATGCCTTCGCAGACAGTTCACGTCCTCCTTCATTCAACAAGATTTGAAAGATGGCATGAGGAAGTTTTGAAAGAGTACTTAAATGCTTCCGCAACAGCAACAATAACGTCTCAAGGGCTTCTCTGCAATTCTTTGACAGACCATTTGTATTTTCCTTCTCTTGTACGCAAAGAACATCTTCAGTGGCTGCTGTACTCTTCACAGTTAGCTTTGCATAGACCAATTCTAGGTCCAAAACATAATTCTTTACAATGTCGTCGAGGCTACATGGACGAGCATTCTCTTCTACCTCAAGTATATGCTGAACACCATGCTGCAAGGCATACCTCGACGTCTGTTTCAGTGTTGAACTCTGGATCCCTTTAAGTTTCAATTCATCTAGTTCATCTCTGCAAAGCTTTGCAATGACGCGATGACATTCTTTTCCGCTAACAATAAACTTCTTTTGCCTCGAAGTAGACTCCTCCACCAACCAGTCCTTGACTGACTTGTGAAAGAAGTCAATGCACTCGCCTTCAATGGGTAGAAGAGCCGAGATACAATCAACTGCGTCTCGTACTTTTTGCTCATCAGCCGATGACCATTCTTTTGAAAGGAACAACTTGTAGACAAACTCGACAGGTAATGGTTCTCTTGCTGCCACCATGGCATTTAAAAAATCAAAGAATTGCTCTTCGGTGATACCTAGTTCTTTCTGCATTTCCTTTTTCAGGCGTTTGAAGTAGTCTTGATAAACGGACGAAATACCTGATGGCAAGTCGCTGTTGATCACTTCAGCAGCATTCATACGTACAGCATTCTTCTTAATGAACTCTGTCAGGTAATAGGTATATAACATGACCCCTTCTGACTTTTCAACAAGCTTTTCTAAGATGGTATCTTGGCAATCAAATTGCAGAACATGTTCCAGTTGCTCTTGAAAGCAAAGCCTAACGTCCATCAAGTTTTCTTGATCGTTTGGGTTCAGCTGTATGGGATTTAGGTCTCGAATCTTCTCTAAGATGTTCATTTCAGGTCGCGTTGTTACCACAAATCGTATCCAACACGGAAGCGTCTTGAAGTAATCGGCGATCACATTCAAAAGCTCATTACGCCCATGGTATTCACTTTCGTCTAAGCCATCTATTACCATGAGATGGATAGAGCCTTGGTCTTCCAAATCTGAAAGAGGTTCTTCAAACAAGAATTCAAACAGTTCTTCCACTTCCATGTCTCCAATTTCAACGCCCACATTTCTCGACAACTTCTTCACGAGAGCCTTCCTGTACTCTGGCAGCGATTCGGAAAGCTGACAGGCTAACGACTGCAGCATAACTTTGGGATTCCTTCGGCGTGCCTTGTTATGTCGACAGAAGTGGCTCCCTGACAATCGTCCAGCCTCTAACATCTTTTGGCACAAGACAGCTGAGATTACAGACTTTCCCATTCCAGCATTCCCACTTATAACAATCACTCTATTTGGAGAACTTTTGTCGTCTAACCACCTCTCAACTTCTTCAAGAATCCATAAACGAGTTCCCTCAACATATCTGCTTGCATGGTGTCTTATTTCACCTAAATTGTCCACGTTTGCTAGTTTCGCAAGGACTTCGTCATCCCTGATGCTCTCCTTCTCATTACTCAAATTTTGAATGGTGTGCTGGGATGCCTCCTCCATGGTTTGAAGCTTTTCACAGACTTTTTCAAGCATTAACTTGGTATCTTGAGTAGCTCTACTGTCTTGAAGTTGGCTCTGATGCACAATATTGACAGATTCTTGCAAGTTCATCTGAAAATTTGACTGACTCTGCAGTACTTTATCAACAGATTGCAGCACCTTGGTCTGATTATCCTGCACGTCCTTCAACTGTGATTTTATATCTTTCTCAGAATCAGCCCACTCAAGCAACGCATCTAAGAACTCTTGCTCTCCACAATGCTCAGCCTTCAATCTATCAATTTCTGCCTGCTGCAAGCCAAGAGCAACAAGAACAACACTTATCTCCTGCCACAGAGTTGAGAAAGTTGGATCAGCAATACCAGTTGTGGTAACATGGCCATACAATTCATTTCGGTAAAACTTAATGCGAGCAAGATTTGCTTCGAGGGAGTTGTCACTTGGAGGTGGTTTAGTGTGCCACCCAGAGTGGGGTGGGGAGAGACCACAAATGTTGGTTAAGAGAAGGAATAAAAGAGTAATATCAAATGTTTGGGAGTCTGGAGGAGCACCGCTTGGAGGAAACAATAGATCCCATTGAGATTTGTGTAGGATCTTTCTTCTCAGCAGATTTTGAAGGGTCGAATAGTTTGCATTCAACGCGGCTGAAAGACTTGCTGGGGGATGATATCCATTGAAAATGCTCTTAAGAACTGTTGTTCCACCATCGATGAGAAGTCGGCTGAGCTTGGCCCCGTTTGTCCTCTCTACTGAACTGGCAAGAGGTGAAGGAGTGGCTGATGCCATATGATCCAAAATACAAAGATTGATTCATCAGGTGTACCTGCACGTGTTCTGAAAGAAACATTACAATTGCGTAATTGCTTCTCTTAGACATGTACTGGAAAGAGGAGCAAGACCCTTCGGTGGACATCTCTACCCTACTAATCAGCTTGGCTCCTTCAACACCATTCCAAATCTGCACTGAATTAAGACAAGGGACACATTTTATGATAATTACAAACTACAAAAAAAAGATTATCGAAGTATTTCCCATGTCAATTCCTCCAGGTATCCTCAGTTCTTACACTTAGGATTATATTAATTGACAGCCTTATGGTTACCTGAGCTCCCCCACACACCATTTGCATTCCTTTGTTGATCACATTTTGGTAACGTCACGGCGGTACTCCAAAAGCTAGTAGATTGGTCAAACAAGGAGACAGCTGAAGGAATAAAATATTCTGGATCAGAGAGTCCTAAATAAATCAAATTAAATAACAATTAAGAAGAAAGTCCACAATAGCATTTCACCACTGAACTGCTCAAAATGTTAACTGAAGGTTTTGTAATGACACCATTCACTTCAAAATTTCAAGACAGAATACAGTAATTAATAAAATTCTCCTGGTCAGAGTTTTAAATTTAGGGAAATAATTAAACATGACGGATGTATGGATCAAAATTTGTCACAAGATTTTTATCCACGACCTAAACAACATTGTGTTTAATTGTAATATATAAGAAATGAATTTTATCTTAGCATCGGTTTGCATTGGTAATAGAAGCCAATTCTAGAGCAGCACCATGAGTTAAAAGAGGAAGGAAGTTTTCAGAAAGTGTGTTATGCTGCCCCATCAAAACTACTGCCATTAGAAAGGCATAGAAGCCTAAATCTCACTTGTAATCAAGCAACTACAGAACAACAGAACTTATTTTGGGTCAGAAGAGGTACCCGACTGCTTTTGACTGCTCATAAGCCACAATGACATTTTCCTGACCAAATAACCACATTACATGTACCAGTAACAGAATCCCACACACAGAGAGAGTAAACATTTTGTTACAGTTGGTTCTGTACACATTCAGTGTTGTGATCTTCATAGAATAACCCAAGCAAGAGCAACATATTGTTTAAAATGAAACCCATTAAAATTTCTTATGCAACACTTTCAAAGGAAAAAAAATTCTTAATCTTTTTTTGGCATATTTAATAAGCAAACATTACATTGCAATGTATTGTGCCTATCACAATTACTTCTGACCAGGCTAATTGATTATAACAAAGATATATTTTTTCTTCTCAGAATTTTTAACCCTTTACACCTTAACATCAATGTGTATATTCTCCTCACAGTTATCTAAATATTTCCTAAGGTGCTGACAAGGAGAATTTGCTTAACAATCAAGAGCTTCAACAGTTGGTGATTATTCTTTTATCCTCACAACTTTTAGTTAATGTTTAATTCACAGGTGACATTGTAGGAGGGGGGATTTGATGCTGGTCACAATTGCTGGTTAAAAAGTTAAATGTATACCAATTGTTCTTAGTATTTTTACCTGCATAGTTCTGTGACACTTTTTTGAGGATGTGGAACACTTGTAACATGAGTCTTTGGGCAGTAATAAGTTGGTTAACTAAAGCTCTCTCAGGTGGGCATTATTGTAGTTTTTCAGCTGTAAGAAGTTTCCAGTTGTAGGAATAACCCAAAACTTGAGAAATTGACAAATGTTAACATGTCAATTCAAAGACCCTTTGTAAGTCTTAGTTATTCACACGTGCACAGTGAGAGAGAAAATTCTGTCAAATGACTTAGAGTAAAGTGAAAAATCAATTTAAATGATAAACACTGTGACAAGGCTGCACCAAAACACTTTGATATAAGATTCACTCCAAGGTTTGCATCTATTTTCCTTGGAAAAGGAAAATTTTTCATAAAAACAGTGCACCTTATAACCAAATAGCCATAGTACAATAATCTGTATATTGATTGTCACAAATGAGTTACACTGTAAATGGTTATTTTGAAGTGAACATTAAATTCTTTTTAAACACTTTAAGCATAAAACACATCCCAGAGCAGCGCAATGAATAATCTTCATATCACTACAAAATTAAATTTTTTCATCTCTCCTATTCTCCCATAATGCCTTCCAAATGGCTTATCCTTGCAGAATGCAGTATGGCATGCCACATATGACTTTAATTTTAGCCTGGCTTGTTTTACTGCCAGAAAGAAATGCCATTTTTTTTTTAAAATTAGAATAACGAACCATTAGATTGTGTATAATAAATCATTTAAACTTGGTATTTTTGGGTTATGCTATAAATAACATCAAAAAGTGTAGAGGAGGTAACTGAAAAGACAGTGAAGTGTCAAAAGTGAAATATAAAATCAAAACTTTTTTTCTTTTTCTGGTACATATAGGGTAGGCCAATAAACTGTAGCTTAAATTGCAGCTCTCAGAGCATCGATTGTTATAAAATAAATTATCACCTGAACCAAAACAGTAATGAGAAAAAAAGTTCTAAAAGTTTCAGGAGTGGTAAATCAAGTCTGATATTAGAGGGGGCCATGATTTTAAAGCTTCAGTGTGCAGATCTTTCAATCACCTCTACGTTGTGAAAATTTCAGAAAAAATGATTAAATATTGAGCATGTAATGGCATCTTCTGCCATATTGCACTCTAACGCATGAAAGGGTTAAGATGTTTTCTCAAGCCAGAAGGTGGAGCATTGAAGTATAAAATGCAAAGACCTGGGCTCTAATTCAAACTATTTGGACACTGGCTTCAATTGAACGCAGAGCATGACATACATGGGCAACTAGTTATACCAGGAGACACAAGATGAGATGCTACAGTTCACAAACGTCAGCAGGGGTTAAGATTAACTTGGGTCAAATTTCAGCACACAGTTGTAAAGCTTAACTGCTATTGAACCAGATATCTGTGGCATGAAAATACTTCCAGGATTTAAGTTTTCAATGATTGTCCATATCATAGAATCAAAAGTGTTTTACAACAGAATAAATCAATCAAAACTTGTGGAAAGTTATGTTTTTCACTCTTAAGCACAAAAACTTCACCAAAATACTGACTGCATTTCTATGATTTGAACCAAGAATCATGTACGTAGAAATCAAACACAGGAACGAGATTTCATCATGTTTTGATATTTCATTACATATCCCCTGCGGGATATGTAATAAAATACAGGAACGAGCCTGATTCAAGTAAAAACCAACCAAACTAAGACCCATCAGGTTTATATATTTCTGAAAATAGATAAATCACTCATAATTATATGCTAACTAACCTCACTATTAAGAAAAAGGTTCAGTTTCACCAAGAGAAACAATGGGGAACCAGGAGCGCTTCGTTGTAGGGAATGTGCCCACCGAAGCAAAATGCAACTACATTTTAATCGAGTGCAAGAACCAGAAGACTGGAACTAGCGTAGGATCTGACGGGAGAGTATTGACACTTTTAATTTCAAAGTAACATGCTGTGATGACAGAAATCTCGATCGTGATCACAGCCTGATGTCATTATAGATTCCTTTTACGTAGATTACGAAGACAAAATTTAACAGGCCAAAAATTCTCTTAGAATTATCTATCGTTACGTCAAAGCTAATTTTAACGGTCTAGGGAATGCCTTTGTGTCGATGTGATAATATTGACTTGAGTATGACTAATTTTCAAGATCTTGTACTTGCTGCAGTTGACATGCAAGCAAAACAAAAAATTTTTCTAAAGTATTGTCAAAAATTTCAAAAACATACGTAAACTAATTTGTATGCAAAAATCAGCGTATTGAATATCCTTCTTTTTTCTAGAAAATACTGTAAGAGAAACGATTTCTGCACGGTTATTCTGGTTCCATCTTCAACCAGGCCGGTACAGGCTATGTACACATAAAATGGATATAAATTTAGATGGTTTCTTATTTACACACAGGTGAAAGTGCCTCTTTCACAAGAAAAATACAAGAGAATCACCAGTGGTACCATGACCCTAATGCGTGATTCAGGGTTGATATTGTAGGGAGAAATTAGATGCTAATCACTCTTTGGGTTCAAAGGGTTAAAGACACCTGTCATCTTTAGAGTATCTGGGATTGCTTTTGCGCTCTGAAGGAATAATATACCTATATAATCGTGTCTCTATAAAAGTTTGTTGACTAAAAAATATTATAAACTTATGATCAAATCTGCGCTGTATTAAGACAAGGGAGACGTTTTATTATGATAATTACAAACTTCAATACTCCAGGTATCCTCAGTTCATACTCATAGGATAATAATAATTATTATTTGACGGCCTTATGGTTACCCGATCTTGACAGCACAACCCAAGCAAGAGCAACATATCTTATGAAATGAAACCCATGGAAATCTCTTATGCAATACTTTCAAAGAAAAAATTATTATTTTTTACCTTTTTCTGGCATATTTAATAAGAAAAAATTATATTGCAATGTATTGTACTCATCACAATTCAAACCTGGCCAATTTATTATACCAAAAATACATTTTTTTATTTTCAGAACTTTTACCCCTTTACACCCTAACATCAGTATACCTATTCTCCTTGTAGTTATCTACTAAAAATTTCCTAAGGTGCTGATGAGGAGAATTTGCTTAACAATCAAGAGCTTCTACAGTTGGTGATTATCTCTTTTATCCTCATAATGTCTACAAGTCAGTTAAACATGTCTACAAGTCAGTTAAAAGATCAATAAATAGTCTTGGTGATTCACACATGCACAGTAAGATGGAAAATTCTGTCAACAGACTTCGAGTAAAGCAAAAAATCAATTTAAATCATAAACAAACACTGTGACAAAGCTGCACCAAAATACTTTGCTACAAGATGCACTCTGAGTTTAGCATGTATTTTCTGTGGGAAAGGAAAAACAGTGCACCTTAAAACCAAAGAACTCTCGCATGAGTTAAACTGTAGATGGGAATTTTGAAGTGAACATCATGTTCAGAACATGAAAGTTTGTTTAAACACTCCAAG